ATTGAATACATTCAAACCTGGAGTGCTTTTATCCAGGACATTTCAGGTACATGCCCTAAAATCGTAATCCTTAAAATATTTCCGGGGGTCTCTCATCCGAGGATTATTCAAACTTTTCATTAGATTTTGTTTTTCATGTGGTGGCGTCCCGAACCCTACGCACAACACCATGGGATACACCTTCTCACCTTAGCTTGCCTCCAAACGGATGTTTGTTGCCTACCCAGCGGATACGTGGTCTAAGACAGGAAGTCGTGGGCTGCTGTTGGCCACTCCCAGTTAAATGACAGTCAAAAGCTTGCCTCACTTGCGAGAACTTCTACACAATAAAAAGACATCGAAGGAAAATAATAAACTTATTATTTTATTTTACTTTACTCAAAACAATAAAATTCTCGAAAAAATCCCCTCGTACACATATGGTATGGGATGAAAATTATCAACTTTATTTGCTTTTCTTTTCCTTCTTCAATAACAATACAAAAGCATAGTGTCTGCGTCATTTTCTTAAAAGTTGTGTGCGTAGCGCAAGCAGATAAAATAAATAAGATTTGGGCATATCACATAGGAATAATTGAAACCAAATCCAATTTGAAGTGTTTTTTAGAGGAAATTATTCCGTTTGTTTCAAAAAAAAAAAAAAAATACTTAAACCAAGCTTTTCTATGAACAATCGGCATTTAGGTCCATCTTAGATGCAGAGGATGGTATTTATGGTTGAGATCAATAGAGCCCTCCTAATGTGCGTCGCTTTAAGTCCGACCTTACTTTTAATTTACAACTAAAATATTTGAACAGTTGTTGTCATTGTTCGTTAATCGAAAGAAAAACGCGAAAATAAGTGCGCAATGCCTACACATTTCCAAGACTAATTCGGTCCGTACTTCACGCCATTTAAGGAAGGCTTTCACACACATTTTCCGCAGTCTTCGCAAATCGTCGCAATGTCCGAAACGCGCTTTAAGACCGTTCTTTTAGCTTTGTTCTTTATATGGCTCAGCCATAGAAGAGCCTTTGCGGCCACGGCAACCGACAAGGTCGTTAATGGCGTACGAACCACTATCAGTCGGGCACCGTTTATGGTGCAACTCAAATATAGCGGCTCTTTCTTCTGCGGCGGCACTTTAATATCGAGCACACACGTCCTCACGGCGGCACATTGTATCAAAGGGAGAGTGCGCAGCAGGATAAGGGCGCATGTTGGTACTGGCACCTTATCACGGGCTGGCACAGTACGCCGCATATCGAGAGCATTCATACCCAGTATTTACAACTCAAATACCAAGAGAAAGGATGTGGCTGTTTTGAAGCTCGCAAGTGCTGTTAATGGCACAAATATCGCATCGGTTGGCTTGTGTAATACACGTATAAGACCTGGACTACGTATGCGTTTGTATGGCTGGGGTACAACAAGTGAAAGTAGTAGCCAATCATCGAATGTGTTGCGTACCGAAGTCATACCCGTGTTCCGCAAGGCGGTATGCAAAAGACGATACCGAAATATCCAAACCCTTACCAGGAGCATGTTTTGCGCTGGTGTTCCCGGACGGAAGGATTCATGCTACGGTGATTCCGGTGGACCGTTGATACATAATAACACAGTATGCGGCATTGTGTCATTCGGTAATGGCTGTGCACGTCCTTATTATCCTGGGGTCTACACAAGTGTGCCGATGGTGCGGCGGTTCATCAATCGTGCATTGGCAAAATAATTGCGATTTCTGGTTAAATTAGATTTTTTTTTTAAATGTTGCCTCACTTGTAAATAAATTTTGATAAAAGTTCATTATTTGTGTTTAATTTATCAATTTTGTTAGATGAATTTTGTAGCTGCTTCAGAAATGATTCAGTAAAGGAGATTTCATATGTACATTGCATTGCTCAGGTGATTTCCCGAAACCAGCCCTACATTCAAGTTATTTTGATATTTATCTGGCTTCTTATCATTCTGCCTTTTTGTTTAAGAAACCCGCGCATAAGCAAGCTTGTCGAGGTAAATTTTAGACAATGTTAGCTTTTCGTCAATTTTTTTAATGCTTGCATGCTCCACTGAGACATGTACCGAAGGATGTAACCGCAGTGGTATCGGATATAAAATATATATAGCCTTGGCTAAAAGTATTAGGCACCCCACTGGAATACAAGTATTATCAAATGTGGCTATCAAAGTTACCACTTCTTTTTGTAAATGTCTTACATGGGTGCTTAACTGCTGATTACCTATGCCTAAAAAAATGTGAAATTAGTTACGGTGGTAGAACTAGAACTCAAGTTCTAACTGAAAAAGGTAAGTCTCAGGTTAAGATTGCCAATTTGGTGCCGCGAACTTCCGATGCGCGGTCCAATGTGCTAACAGGCGATTTGTGGAGAAGAAATCCCACAATGATAAATCAAAAAGTGGAAGAAAGCACCTAACCAGTAAAGGAGAAGACCGAATACTTATACGCGAGTCTCACAAGGATCGCAAGAAATCTTCTTCTGCGCTTGCGCTGCCCTTTCGGATGAATTTAGTAAACCAGTTAGTGCAGGAAGCAGGTTTAAAAGGATGTAAAGCCGGAAAGAAGCCGTGGCTCTCAGAAAAGAATAGGAAAAATCGTTTGGAATGGGCTCGCCGATACCAACATTCCACGGAAGAAGATTGGTCGAATGTTCTGTGGTCTGATGAATCAAACTTCGAGGTAAGCTTAGTTAAGATCGTCTTAAAATATTAACAGCCACAGCTTCTCTCTTGCTCTAGGATAGCAATTTTGAAGACATAATACAAATCTTATGAAAACATTACTGTTTCTTCTCTACATATATTTGGAACACCTGGCGACGTGAGGCGACGAGTTGGGGAAGAACATCATACAGATTGCGTGGTGCCCACTGTTAAGCATGGACGGGTTTCAATTTCAGCAAGACAATGCTCCCTGTCACAAATCAGCGACTACGATGCTTTGCTTTAGAGATAACAACATTGTTTTGTTAGTTTGGCCTGCACAGTCTCCAGATCTTAATCCCATTGAGCATATGTGGGCTATTTTAAAACACTAGATTAAGGAACACAGTATATCATCAAAAACTGCCTTAAAGAATGCCTTAATTAACGAGTCTTACGCTATAAGTGCGGACGACTGTGCAAAGCTTGTACGCAGCATGCTTAAGAGAATTGCTGCCGTTATCAAATCGAAGGGTGGACCTACTAAATATTAATGCTATTATCACTAATTCAATGTATTTTCACTGTTTAACAAATAAAATTTCATTACTTCTCTTGTTAAAACAAAAAAATTCAGTATTTAGGGGGTGCCTAATACTTTTGGCCAAGGCTGTATATAGAGGTCGGTGGTAACGTTGGTGATGATCTTCAAATTACTTTCCGTAAATAAAATATTAGTAAAACTTATTGCTAACTTACCTCAATAAAAATAATTATTTGCTTGCATTTTTGTGTGGGAACTTGAATGTTTAAGGTTTTCCCATTTAACTCTCTCATAAAGGGTTGCAGCAGATTTATACCACTTTTTATTATTTTGTACCTACTGCATGACTTTTAAATTTTAGCTTTTCTACACCGTATATATTATATTATATATAATGGCCGTACATCTCTCAACATCAAGTAAGTGGTAAAATGTAAATTTCGTGCTAAAAAAATTTCGTACATCTGAAGCAGGCATAATTCGTTTTCTCCAAGCCAGAAGAGACGGTTAGGAAATCTTCCTTTTCTTTCGCCGAGCACGGGCGCAAATCAAGGATATGTTACAAAATTTTGTTTTGATGCGGATTGTGGCGAGACGTTCGTCCACCGGGATGAATGCCAGCACTCAACGACGGAGTCTCTCTCCTGCCACATATCCGACACCATATTTGCGCTCCTTTACATGGCCACTATAGTAAATTTCACAGAGACCTACTCGCTTTCGTACTTGTCCCGTCTATCTCAGTTCTTGGTTGACGGTGATGGCAGCCTTTAGTTTAGCGAGGACATCAACCAGCAGTGTAGCGATACCTTCCCAATTGAAGGACCGGACATTCCTTGAAACATTTGAGGTGGTCGTCATCCTAGGCTGATTTAAATTTCTCACTGGATTTTGTTTGTCAGGACAACGCCAGACAACACACATCGATAGTGACTCGTAGAAGCTTGAACATAAATTGAACCCTTTTTCGTCTGTCGTATAATTGTTGATCATACGACGTGGCGAACGGATTAATTTCATGTTATGAATTTTCATATAAGGTTTAGTAAAGAGAAATGCACTTATTTTGCATGGTTCCAAACGGTTTTTTATGCAATTTCAGCTCTTGGGCAATCGAAACAGTGCTTACATGACGGTTGGACTCGACGAGTTCCATATTTTGTCCCGCATTGCATTTTACATTTTCAGCCGCCTGATTTGCGTTTTCACACATTTCGAAGAAAAACTGATAACTACACGTATGTCGTATTTTCTCTATGCTGGTTTCAACCTTTGACGCAAAATAAACTTGTCTCAAACCCTTTTTCTAACTCCATCTAGGAAAACGCGAGGATACAGATAAAGAATGGATTTCTTTCTACTACCCCTAATATTTAAATCTATCACTGAACTATTAAATTTCTCACAATTTCCCTGCCTCAGCTGAATGGTTATTCTAACGCCATGATAGGGCTATTTCGGGGTTACGTGCGCGTTGTGGCCAAGCTACTGCAGAAAAAAGGTTCTGGCAACACTACTCTGGATGAAGCTTGCCTGTGCACCGGTATCCAGCACGTTTCAAAATCTGTACCTCTCTTACTGTCTAAACGCCACCTGAATCGGGTTTGTTCTAACTTTTTTTGATACTTCCCTCGAATGAATGAAAAAACCATTGTTGAAATGAATATAATAAGTGTGTTTTATGTTTTGTTTTTGTAGTTCTTACCAATTGTGTATTCTCACAAAAAGCACGATTTAATTATTGAAAAGTGTGCGCGTGTGCAAATAGAAACAGCTAAGTCCATATTTGATAATAAATATTAATTCTTTTTTAAGGAAACTTAAATACATTGTGTTGAAAAAGTACAGGGTGGGGGGAACTGAAGTTGATTGACAGGCATTAAGAAAAGCCTTCCTAATGTGCGTAAGTTTTCGTTCGAGTTCAGTTTTCTATTTAAACAGTTGTTATTGTATTCAAAATATCACCATCACCAGAAGGGAAGACGCAATGCACACAGGCACCTACATGCGTAACTGTACATTATTCCAACGGGTATTGCGGTCCGCCCTTCACGCAATTTAAGGAAGGCCTTCACACACATTTTTCGCAGTCTTCGCAAATCGTCGCAATGTCTGCAACGCATTTTAAGACCGTTCTTTTCGCTCTGATTTTTATATGGCTCAGCCATAGAACCGGCTTAGCGGCCGAGGCCACCGACAAGGTTGTTAATGGCGTACGAACCACTATCAGTCGGGCACCGTTTATGGTGCAACTCAAATATAGCGGTTCTTTCTTTTGCGGCGGCACTTTAATATCGAGCACACACGTCCTCACGGCGGCACATTGTATCAAAGGGAGAGTGCGCAGCAGGATAAGAGCGCATGTTGGTACCGGCACCTTATCACGGGCTGGGACAGTACGCCGCATATCGAGAGCATTCATACCCAGTATTTACAACGAAAATACCAAGAGAAAGGATGTGGCTGTTTTGAAGCTCGCAAGAGCTGTTAATGGCACAAATATTGCTTCAATTGGTTTATGTGATACACGATTAACACCTGGTTTACGCCTGCGCTTGTATGGCTGGGGTACAAGAAGTGAAAGCAGTAGCCAATCATCGAATGTGTTGCGTACCGAAGTCATACCCGTTTTCCGCAAGGCGGTATGCAAAAGACGATACCAAAATATCCAAACCCTTACCAGGAGCATGTTTTGCGCTGGTGTTCCCGGACGGAAGGATTCATGCTACGGTGATTCCGGTGGACCGTTGATACATAATAATACAGTATGCGGCATTGTTTCATTCGGTAATGGCTGTGCACGTCCTTATTATCCTGGCGTCTACACAAGTGTGCCGATGGTGCGGCGGTTCATCAATCGTGCATTGGCACAATAATTGGGATTATTGTTTAAGTTGAAAAGTGTACGAAAAGTACTTCGTTGTTTAGAAATAAATTTTGTTGGCATTAACAATAACATAATTTTTGTTTTTTAATATACCATTTCAAGTTCTGCGTGAAGTTCACGGTCGCGCGTACACACTCATGCGCAATCTTATCATTTTCATACTTCTCTTGATGTTATACACGTGTATTATTATATTACCTTTATACTATGACCCTGACCCATTTCCGGGAAACAAACGATTTATCTATATAGAATATATATACTCTCTAACAGGAGTTCGACCAAATCGAACCAAATATACATTTTTCCAATAGATCGGCATGTGAATATCCAGGAAAATTTTGTCTAAACTATTCCCGATTCCTCATACAAAAAGCATCAAAATTAGTCCGGCCATTTAAAAGCAGAGTTTTTCGAACATATCTGTCTGTGATCCACTTTTTACGAACAGGTTAGTCCCTGGCTGGACCCATGTTAACGAAGTCGACAAGATTCCTACAAACGTACCGATTTTCAAGTAAATTTGAATTGATCAGTCAAATCACTCTCGAATTTTAACGAAGTCGGTACAGGAGTTCACTAAAAAACGCAAAGAAAAAAAAAAGAAATAAATGGCGACTCTACATGAATATTCTCTACTAAAAGGTTGCACTGGTACCTTACTACAGAACAAGTAAACTGAAATACTAATTAAATTAGCGTGGCATTGGAGTACAAAATTTATAAAACTTTGCTTATCCTGCTATGCAACATATTAGGATCTAGTAGAAAGCAATTCATCATAGTTGCAGTAGATGGCTATAGTGATCTGTATCTCGGATCTTCCAAGAGAAGCTGAAGAGAAAATACACCATAATTTCACATCTTTCTTTCGTCAGGCAGATTTTGTTGGGCTTGGTGGATCGGCAAGGCAGCATCCACCTTGAGCTGCTCCCCCACGGCTAAACTCTTATTTCGCACTTGGACTGTCAAAATTTGGACCGTCTGAGCACCGCCAGACCACTAACAACGATAGTGTCTCGCCGGAAGCTTGATTGGAAGGCTCTTTTGCCCCCACTTTATAGTCCGGACCTCGCACCAAGTGATGACCATCTGTTCATGTCTATGATGAATAATTTGGCTGGTAAAGAATTCGGCCGCTGTAGCCGAGTATTCAAATTCTCGTGCGACTAACACCCAAAAGATATAGAAAAGTAATTTAAATAAAAAATTAAGCTAATTTTTCTATTTGCGGTCGCCCCTCACCAAAGATGGTCAACCCCTCCGAGTGTATTTCTGACACGTAAAAAAGACTCCCCATAAAAAACCAGCAGCCGTTCGGAGGCGGCTTAGTATAAACTGTAGGTCCCTCCATTTGTTGGAAAAACATCAAGACGAAAAACCACAAATTGGAGGAGGAGCTCCGCCGAAAATCGCTTTAGTGGTTACAAAGCGCCAATTATATATATATAAAGAATTTGCCTCAAGAGGTCCGCGTATAAATCGATTGCTCAATTTTTTGCTGATAGGGACAAGGATTTCTATAAGAGAAGCACAATGAATTACCTTCAAACAGGCAAAAAGCCATCGAACAAAACAGAGCATATTTGTCATGAACCGGATAATTGTAACCATGGTAAGCAAAGCCTTCAATTTAATGCAAAAATAATGGATTGTTTTTTACTAGACAAATATTTGAGTCATATCTGCCTAATATACGGTTCACCGTTCCATTAAAATCTAACTAATATTGAGAAAACACCGTGCTTACAATTCAAGATTCTGGGCGCACGTGATCCGTTCGTAGCGCTAAGCATACACAAAGACTTTGGTATCCTGCTTGCGAAGCATGTTAGGCTTAAGCAGGATTAAGCAGAAAAAAAGGCACGACTTCTGAACTCTTTTGCAGACAGGAGTCAGCCATTGGCATTTCTGGAGATAACCTTAAACTGTTGTTCCTGCCAGAAATTTTAAAGCACAAACACGATCGGTGGAGGACAGTTTGCATCCGTTGGGCACGCTCTGTCCTGCTGATTCGTGGAAACTAAAAATGGCCTCATCTTAAGGTTCTCGTACGGAGGGTATTGAAGGAAATTCGTCCGTTAGGCATATTCAAAGCATTAAACAGGCGCAGCAGAAGACCGGAAATGGTAAGATGGCGACATTCTTGACAAAGTGTGAAGACTAAGAGTAGCGCGTGGACATCTCAAACTGGAGTCAAACGCACCACAGGTCTGGTACGATGATTAGCAATATCGCCAGGCTGACCGGTTCCATAGGAACAGATGTCTAAAAGTATGCGATTACGTGGGGATAGCCATCTCTACTGTTTGGAGGAGGATGGAAAATTGACTGGGTAAGCTGTCTAGCTTAGAAGTGTGGATTAGTAATAAGACTAAGCGCTTTGTCGAGTGCTCGAACTTGATCGGCGATTCGCGAATTGCTACATGTGGTTTCACAAAAACGGTTTATTGATATAACGTTTAAGTTGAACTTGAAATTAAGTAAGAAACAGTTTTTTCTATGGGTTGTTGAACTTGCTCTTGTATGTATGCACAAGTGCATATCTCGATGAAAGTGAAAAAGTACCTTCCGAAATAAAAAAAATTATGAAGTTTTCGTTTTGTTTAATTATATAATAAAAACTAATGACTATAAGCAATGCGCGGGGCTCATTTTTCTAAGTACTATGTGTGGCAAAAAAACAAAAAAATATGTATACCCTTCGTAACATAAAGCTAAGTACATATAATGTGAAAAATCAGTTTTCGTTTTTCAAAGATTCACGATCACATTTTCAAATTTTAATCCGTCCAAGGGATGGGAATGGTCATTTATACCTACTTTAGGATTGAGAGTATGCTTTAGATATTTCCGAAAGCCTGAAAACTAGCCTACTTCATACGATCCTTACTAATGTGCGTAAGTTTTCGCTTGCGCTTTGTTTTAGTTGAAAAATATAATGTTTAAACAATTGCTGTTAGCTTAATAAGAAAAAAAAGGAGACATAAGTTCAAATATAGCATTTAGAAGCAAACATGTGTACATAAATTACACTACTACATACTTCCCACGGTACCATGTGTCACACTCAACGCAATTTAAGGAAGGCCTTCACGCACAATTTGCACAGTCACCAAAGAGCAACAGAATGTCTGCAACGCATTTGAAAGCCACTCTTTACGCGCTAATATTCGTTTGGCTCAGCCACAGCGCCGCCTTTGCAGATGAACCCAGCCTTAAGGTTGTCAATGGCGTACAAACCAATATCAGTAAGGCACCGTTCATGGTACAACTTTGGTATGAAGGCAGTTTTATGTGTGGCGGCACTTTAATATCGAATAATCACGTCCTTACTGCGGCACATTGCGTAAAAGGAACGGTGCACCGTAAAATACGGGCGCACTTGGGCACTGGCACTTTAGCGCGCGTCGGAACTGTACGGGCCATATCGAAGGCTTTGGTCTCACAAATTTACAACGATGACACTAAAAGAAAGGATGTAGCTGTTTTGAAGCTCGCAAGAGCTGTTAACGGCACGAATATAGAACCGGTTGATTTGTGTAGTACACAATTAACAGCTGGACTACGCTTACATTTGTACGGCTGGGGCACAAAGTCTGAGTCTAGTAGTCAGACATCGAATGTGTTGCGTACAGCAGTTGTGCCTGTAATTCGTAAGACGGTATGTCAAAAGCGCTATCAGAATGTGCAAACATTGACTAGGAGCATGTTTTGTGCCGGCACTGTAGGAGGAAAGGGTTCGTGCTACGGTGATTCTGGTGGTCCATTAATTTACAATAATACAGTGTGCGGTATTGTATCCTTTGGTAATGGCTGTGGAAGCTCATACTATCCAGGCGTCTACACCAGTGTGCCAGCGGTGCGACGGTTCATCAAGCGAGGATTGGCGCTATAATTGAAATGTATGACACGATTGTTTTCCGACAATTAAAAAAAAAAATCAATATTTCTGTACCAATTTCCCTGAATAAAGTTAAATTTAAATTGAACGAATAAATATTTGTGGTCAGCTGATTTTTTACTTTTAACTTTAGCCCAAAGCATGTAAGTACCAGAAGGAGAAATGAGCGACCCACCAAAATTAATACCGATCGGAGCAGAACGACGAACTAAGTTCATTTAGCCATGTCTGTAGATTTGTTTCTACGCGAACTGGTTCCCCAGTTTTTGAGATAATTCAACCCAAATTCAACCCAACCGTTATTTTCTCAGATATTACGTTTTGGGCTATAAATACCACAATAAAGCATCAAAGATCAGGAGCTGTGAATTGGCACTGAAAATAATTGAATCATGTAGGCCCATATCTTGCAGCCCCCATGCAAGCGATTTGTTCAGATTTAAGTGTTAATATTTTATTCTAAAATGCACTGCAATTAATTCGATATTGCCACGAAAGGTATAAAGACTTGGGCAAGGCTGAAGACAGCACTTCTTTCCTTTGGTCATTGGTCATAAAGAACTCCCGAGGAACAGAGAGGCAATTGAACAAGTTAATCACATAAACAATGATTTGAGGACAGTATGCTAATTCAAAAACATATTATTACTAATAAAACCATTGCAATGCAAATAAGGATGCATGAAAGCCAATTATTACCCGACTGGGTAGCAGTGCGCGCTACTGTGCCGCGTCTAGTTCGAATTCTGTACAGACGAACAACCTAACTTATAGAAAAAATCCTAATTCCGGCCACTTCTCAGCAGGGAATATGTCCCAGTATTTCTGTTTTTGGCAAAGCACACAAGTGGAATATATAACAGAATTCTTTTAAATTCGGAAACTAGATTATCTTGTGCGCGAGTTTACGTCTTGGCCTTGTCTTTAATTTAAAACGGAAATATTTGAACAGTTGCTAACATCTTTCTAATTTAACGTTAGAAAAAGTCACCAAAATATGCGCTACAAGTACGAATATATCATAAATTGCATATACAAACCAGATGTGTTTGTATTAGGGTGCTTGAACTTAGTTTCATCTAAAGATAGCCCGTAAAATGTGCTGAATAATACTCTGCTTGGCCAATAATACAAATCAAAAGTGTGAATATTTAAATCACCCTAATGTATATATACAGATCACACCAGATCACTGTAGGCCATGATCAACGCAATTTAAGGAAGGTTTTTAAGGCAAATTTTTCGCAGTTTAAGTAAAAACTTCGCGATGTTTAAAACAAACTTTAAAGCCGTTCTCTTCACTATACTTATTTTATGGTTCAGCAATAGAACTGTTTCCAAAGTAACCGATAAGGTTGTTAATGGCAGGCAAACCAATATAAGGCATGCGCCATTTATGGTACAAATCTGGTATAAGGGCTCATTCCTCTGTGGCGGCACTTTAATATCCAGCACTCACGTCCTCACGGCGGCACATTGCGTTAAAGGAAGAACCCGCAATAAATTTCGGGCGCATTTCGGCACTGGCACGTTATTGCGGTCTGGAACAGTACGCCGCATATCAAGAGTATTCGTGCCAAATGTTTATAACGAGAAAACTAAAAGAAAGGATGCGGCTGTTTTGAAGCTCTCACGTGCTGTTAATGGCACGAATATAGAACCGATTGGATTGTGTAACGTACGAATAAGAGCTGGCCTAAAGTTGCGATTATATGGCTGGGGTTCAAGGCGTGAAAGCAGTAGCCATTCATCGAATGTGTTGCGTACAGCGATTACACCTGTTTTTGCGCCCAAAGTATGCCGAAGGCGATACCGTAGAGTTCAAAAAATAACAAAAAGTATGTTTTGCGCTGGTATACCCGGTAAGACAGATTCATGCTACGGTGATTCTGGTGGACCATTGATATATAATAACAGAGTGTGTGGTATTGTTTCATTCGGCAACGGCTGTGCGCGTGATGGTTATCCTGGAGTCTACACAAATGTAACCATGATGCGAAATTTCATTAACCGAACATTGTATTTATAATTGTCATTATCGTGTTCATTTTCTGTAAATACATTTTTTCACCATGCCATATCGTCTTGCTCTCGTTTTGAAGAAAAATGTCTTATATTTTTTTTCCTTTGCTGCGCGTAAAAATAAGGACTTTACGAAGCATTTACACTTTATGTTTTGCTAAGCTTCTCTTAGCAGCAATTTATGTTCAGACATACACCTTCGAGCTTACTTTAAACATAAAAATTACAGCTCCTTATAAAAATCTAACAGCCGTTCAAGCATGGGTTAGAATAAATTGCAGGTTTCTCCATTTGTTGGAAAAACATTAAGAAACACCACATATTGGGGGAGGAGTTCGGCAGAAAATATGTTTCAGCTTTTATAAAGCGCCAATTATATTCGCTTACCTTGATTACGCAAGCTACTCGGCACACTAATGTTGAGGCTAACATTTTGCAAAAACACATTATATGGATTATTTATTGTTGTAGCTATGGGATAGTATTCGTTCACTAGCATTTGCGTTTCTTTACCAAGGTTGCATTGTGTACTCAAATGGAATCTAATAACAAAAGGTACAAATTAATTGTCGCACAAATTTCCGGTACAAAATTTTTTGAAATTAACTTACGTAGGAGTAATATAGCACAATGGGTTAATTTCAATATTATCATCGAGATCGCGTCGACGTGTGTAATGACGAAATGGATTGCGTGTGAAAAACGCTGACTTAGTTAACTGTATAGCTAACTTCTCTGAACCCATTTGCGCTTCGATGCGTGTCACACGTAATTGTGTATTTTCCAAAAATTGATACGCTTCTGTGTAGAAATGTAGTTCATAATATAAATCTGGTTCCAACTTCAAGTTCGGATCGAAATGTTGTGATTGTATTTCCTGTTGCTGCTTGTTCTTACGGCTTTCAAACACTTCAAGTAAACTCCGGAATGATTTGCATCTACTAGCGGGTATTTTGAAAAATCGTGCGCCATCCGTTAGAATAATAGCACAGTGATGTATTTTAATGGGCACATCTGTGAGCAGCCTGAGTGGAATGAATTTGAATGAAGATAAACGTTAAATGAAATGAGTTTTTAAATTGATATCCGTTTTACACTTACTTAATCACAAGTTGAACGTTAATTGTATCGTCGTTCTTCAATTCTAAATGTTCGAAACTGATATACATTTCGATCAGTTTCGTAAGCTTATCCATATCAATTGGTATCGGTGATTTTATAGCAGGAAACGCATTCTCCCAACGTTCAATGATTTCTGGCGCACTTTGACCTTGAGAAATGGGCGCAGCTCCCTAAAACAAGAAAACATATTTAAATTGAGTTAGAGTGAGTGAGAGATAGACTGAATAGATCGTCGATTTTAAAAATTTTCGAGCTCGGATGGGAGCTGAACGATACTTCCAAATGGGCGAAAATAGAACTGTCAAAATTTATACTAATGTCATCGGAATGACCGATGCTCTAAGTATTTGAGAAATCTAAGCGAAATTCAGTATGCAAGTGTATTTTTTAAAATGTATTAATTAGCTAGCAAATAGCTGTATGTCATAGAGCTCTAATGCGATTGATCTTTCTGTTGTTGTTGTAACCGCGAAATATTCCCCGAATTGGGGATAAAATTACGGGTCGTTTCGTTATAAAGACACGACCGTCGCCGGAACTATCGCGGTATGTTCTTGAGCCTGTAACCCGCACGAAGACAATTGAGCTTTGAGATATGTTTGGCTTTATAAGTCATGCAATAATAACAAAATTGATTCGGAAAATTAAATAAAACATAAAGTTCTCATAAAAGTGATTGTTAAGGTTTCCGATTTCATTGCATAATTTGTAAGTAAAGTAAAGTAAATTAATATAAGGACCTAACGTGTTACAGTTTAAGCCTAAAATACTAAATTCACGAAAGGTATAAGGCCTCACTAATGACAGCACTATTTTTTCATTTATTTGCCTATCCATTAATTTAGATATATTATTTCTACTTACTTTAAAAACCTTCCAGAGGTTTTCTAGCACTATAATTCTCTCCTTTTGCTCGCAATTGACGCGTAATGATAACGCTTCAATGCTGCATGAAATAAAGTCGGTAATTGATGCCATTAAAAATGCGCAACGCAGCGTTTTCAATAAAACATCTGAGAATATTGCAGACCAATGCTCCCGTCTATAATCCGTCAGCATGACTGAGTAAAGCCTGCAAATAAAACCACTGATTAATGTTTGACTAGGTGAAAAGAAAATATTTAAGGACTTTACGTTAGAGCATTAGCATGATCACCATGTTTGAAGTACTCCTCGGCCATGTCGATTGCGAGTTTGTTTCGAAATCGTGGACATTTGTAAATTTTAAATTGTGCACGCGCTAAGCTTAGTAAATTTATAATTGCGTTCTGTAATTATAAGTAGTTGCAGATAACAATTTTTTTGGTATAAATTTAAGCTACTCACTGAGTGATTGAATAATTTCTCATTCTCACGTATAAGCGTATTGGTTTGCTGCTCGGAGATGGGATCACCAGTTTTAACTGCTCGTATACCAAAGTATTCAGTGTATAATGTCATTGTGTTGTTGTTTGGCATGCCAGTTGGAGTAGTGGGATCAGTAGGGCTCAATAACATAGCTAAAAGTTATGGAAGGTAACAGTAATGATTTGAAAAAATGTAAGCATGTGTAGTCATACACTTCATCCTACTCACCACTACTTTGCAGAAACGCTTCCTTACGCTTCATTGTAAACTCCGCAGCTTTATTGTAATAAATGCCAGGATTTTGAGTTTGTAATGCAGGTAAACCATTTTTTATTGCCTCACAGAATAAATCTGCAAACATACTGTGTCTGAAATAGCGCATTATAGATGTTAGGATCATATTTTGAATGCAAGTTCGTTGGCGTAAGAAACAACTACTTACTGTGTGCTTAACCAAGCATAGTGTTCGAATATTAAATCCTTAAAGCCTATACGATTTTTGTACTTCTCTATATGAGTTGTAAAATAGTTTATTGCGTCTCGCGGCTGTTTTAACTTGAACATTAACCGACATAATTTATAATTCAGGAACCCAGCAATTGTTTTTATTTCAAGGCAATTGGTATCGGTAATACGTATCTCTTCGAGTGTACCATAAGCTTGGGTATAGTGCCTGGAGAACACGAAATAATTGTAATAATGAAACTGCTCTTTGCACAAGATTACTCACTTTAATCCGGTACTAAAATCTTGTCTTATTTCTGCAATAAACCCTAATTTAAACTGATGACGGATTTTCAATGATGTGTGCGCCACAGTTAGCTGATCACGATGAGCGCGTACACGTTTCGACATGAGCGCGTAATAGGATTGAGCCATATCCAGGAAAGCAGATTCCAAGCGTAGTGTATAGCCTATACACATTACAAGAATAAGACGAAAAATAAAATATGCACAGTATATATCAGTCTTATTACTTTAAATTTTTTTATTACCCATTAAATGCTCAGAGTGCGGCAGGATAAATAGCATTTTATTATTGATACCACAGGCTGTAGTTAAACTGGCGGCTCGCTCGGAAGCTAGCAAATCTTCACCTGGTGGCAAGGGTGATGACTTCTGCAGCAGCACTAGGCACAATCGAGTATTGCGTTCCTTAAATTTTGAAACTGACTATAAATACCCCTGTTATATGAACAAAATTTTTGTAAAAACCTGTAGAGCGCTTTTGAGACTTTGCATTGCGGAAGCGCATTGCACTTGCTTCTCTGACCATTGTGGATCATTCCGTTCCATGTCTTGAAACAATACCACGACGGCAGGAAGTACATGTAAGTGTTTCAACATCCAATTCCGTTTGAGTATACCTTTAGGTTGATACCATTCGTATGAAGCGCGTTTCGGCTTTGCTACTGGAAACTCATACCCGAGTGGCAGAAGCTTGAATTGCACAGACGCTCTGTAAATTGCAAAAAAAAAAGTATTAACTGCTCAATTCATGCAAAAAGTTATTGATTACCTGTCGGTTTTCCTATTGGCGCTAAACGCATCCCATATAGCCTTGTGTACAAGGTTGTGTTTGGTGTCTAGGCCACATAAGCCAATGAGTGGTTGTGGTGCCACCAACAGCTCCGAGGGAAGTACAGTGGCATCAACTGACATAATGATTCGTTATTCCTAAATACTGTAAAATGTCGCTATAATATTATCTTCTATAACAACGAGCACGGTATTTCTCAAGGAACGAATAAGATTTTATTGGAAAAATTATGATTGCAGGGCAAGATTTATGATCTGTTAACCCAACTATAGCGGCATTGCCGTTTAGGTTACTATGTTTACAAACCACACCTAAAATTACTTATTATTTAATTATGTTTATTCACATGTAAGCAAAAACTTTGAGGAAATGGAAATAATCGAAAAATTGCTGCACTCCCACAAAACAACCACAATAGAAAAAATTTGCTTAGAAATTGTGACGGAAACAACTTGATTTGACGTTTAAGAAGAGTCAGCTGATAGAAAACATTGCCACCTAGTTAGTAAAATAGAAATTAATGAACCGATTTTGTAAATTTAACCCAAGATAAACAACTACAACGAATTTGCTTAAAGGAATTCGCTGGATTTCCTGTCCTGTTGCCACCATTATAAAATAACGTACATGAATAGGTGGCCAAACAACGTGCATATGGCTTTTTAATTTTATGTTGGCAATAACACGACCAGCAAGAACAGCTGTTCACATTTATCACTTATTTGAGAATAGATATTTTATACGAGAATCCGAATCCGTCGCAATTATTTTTTCCTGTATCATATTTTCTCCCAAATTTTGAGTGTAAGAATTTAGCTTCAAAATTACAAAAGTATAATAACTTGAAAGCCGAAAACTCATACACGATATGCTGCTTAACAAATTGAATAATGTCGGACGCCAATTGGTGAAGCCGGTTCTCCGAGCACAATATCAAGCCTGTCCGATTAGTACTAGTGTAACCAATCGAGAAATATTCCAGGTACAAAGTGCTGAAGACTTCGACAAAAAAGTAAAAAACAGCGATAAGCCGGTTATTGTGGATTTTTTCGCAACGTAGGTCAAAACATATTATATAACCTAAAAACATTGTTTATACTTCGATTCTTTGATGGTTTTTTTCTTGTGTACTAGATGGTGCAATCCATGTAAAATGCTTACGCCACGCATTGAAACAGTGGTAGGTGAAAAGGCAGGAGCTATTAAGTTGGCTAAAGTCGACATTGATGAGCACAGTGACTTAGCGCTCGATTACGATGTTGGTGCTGTACCAGTCCTATTAGTAATGAAGGAAGGCAAAGTTGTAAATCGAATGGTCGGCTTACAGGACACGGACAAAATTCGCGCCTGGATTGATAAAGCTGTTGAGGAAGCAAAGTAATTCGAATGAAAATGAACAAAAAATTATGCAGGAGATTCGAAAATCTAGTTATAATTTCAGCGTTTGCATCAAAAAGAAAGCTTTAAAATTTGTTAAACAAATATTATCCAAATCGGTTAAAAAAATTAATATAGCTAAATGAAAAATAAACATATTCTGAAATGTTTGTATTAAAGGTACTTTTATTTCACTAAATGTAATTCTTATCAAATTAAATGGAGTACCAGCCGGGTGTGCCTGGGCGTTTCTTATTACGGTCGAGGAAGCGCTTAAAGCCTTGCTTTGAATCGTCCAATGATTTCTCCTCTGCTTTCTTTTGTTCTTCTTTCTTTGAGAACAAATCTGGGAAGGTAAATTCTTCAGTTTTTAGCTGTAATGGAGTAGCAGTTTGTAAAAAAATATATAAACATGTGTACGCATTTTGAATGCTCACTAATGTTACATAAGCGATCTTGACATCATCCTCCTTCGTCACATATCCAAAAGTTTGATCACGTTTCGTTTTACCCATTTCGATGCGAGTGCGTACGTCCACCACAGGCAGCTTATAAATCTTTTCCAAATAATTCTTTATATCATATTTGGTCATTTGCATAGAAACTGAAAATGTCGCAACGTTCTTTGGCTGTTCTTCTGCAGGCCGAATTAGTTTCATCCAGAAGTTAGGTAGGAAAATTCGTAGCTGCGGGTTTCCGCGTTGATAAATTGGATACCAGCGTGTGGACATTTTGTAATTTTTATATCAGCTATATTAATGGAAATACAAGAGTAACTTTGCTTTATTCTTTACGAATCCAAATTACTTTTCGATCAGCTGGGCAAATGTCAGTATGAAACAAAATATAATGATGATACATAAGCGAACAGAACTTATTTTCTTGTTTGTTTACGTCTCCACTTGAAAGGGAAACCCAAAAAACATCACTAAAGGTGGTGAAAACACATAACGTAGATCAGCACGTGTTTGCCTAAATCAGCTGTTCGATTGTTCTTGCAGTTAAACTTCACAACTATAAATAAAGTTTAAACCAATCTAATCAAAAAAGATCTTAATAGAAACTGGTAAAATATAAAAAATGGTAAAGGTGGTAAAAGGTAAAGAAAAAGGAAAATCTGCTTCTAGTAAAAAGTTGACTCGCAAAGAGCAACGCAAGCAGAAGCTTCAAAACAAGAAAGAAAACAAACGGTTGTTCTTCTCAAATAAGACCAAAGGTGCTTCATTAGTCGCTGATGCAAAGGCAGCCGCAGCTAATGCTCAATCAAAAAAGCGAGCAAAGAAACCCAAATCCAAAAGGTCGAAAAAAAATGTGGCACCAGAAGACATACCAATCGAAGAATTACTCGCTGGAAATGTAGATTCAGACAATGAATCAATCGCTTCAGATTTTTCCGATGATGAAGTTGATGCACGTTTACCAGCAAAGATGGTAAAGCGTGAACAATCAACACATGAGTCGAAGAAAAAACAGAAGAAACAACAACCCACACGACCTGATGCTGAGGAACAACGCAGACGAGTATTAAAGCTACAAAAGGATTTGGAGAATGTATCACGAAAACAGCGACTCAAACAGCTCAAAACTGAGAATGAAGAAGAAGATCGTCTTATAGCAAAATTAGAGAAGAAGTTAAAGCTGAATAAGACTAAAGACAAAAATCGCTTGGTGCGCAAAATGTTTAGTGATGGTTTAGACTATGCGCTAGAATTTTGTTTGGATGATGAGGAAGAGAAACGTAAGCGTGAGTTGAAGGAGAAAAGAAAAGAAGAGCTGCAGAGGCAGAACGATAGCGGTTGGAGTGATGAGGGCGAGTTTGATGATGAATGTGATGACGAAATATTCAAGGACGGTAGTTCGGAGGGTGCTGATGATGATAAGAGCGGTGAAGGTAACGAAAGTGCTTACAGTGATGAAGATACCGATGCTGATATTAACTCTCATGACGGGGAAGATGAGGATGAGGAAAGTCAAAAAGATGAATGTAAGTATTCACCCAAACTAAGTTTCTGCTTAGAAAAGGTTCATAACATTTGCTTATTGTTGTAGTTAAGGAGGACATCTATGGCAGAAAACGTGATAAAGAAGGCAACATAATAAAGAATGATACAGAGCCAAAAGCATCAGACTCATCACAACCACAAAAATATGTACCACCTCATCAACGTGCACTACTTGCTGCAACACAAAAAAATGACAAGCAGTCGCTCATTCTGGAACGATTGCGTAAAAATTGCAAAGGGTTGCTAAATCGTCTTTCTGAGGCCAACCTGCATAAAATTTCAACGGGTATGGAAGAGCTATATATGAAAAACTCACGTTACAACATGAATGAAACCCTTGCTTCTTTATTGCGTGAGGCTTTATTGGGTCGAACAATGGCCAATGAACGTATGGTACAGGAACATATGGTCCTGCTAGCCTATCTGCATGCCCAAGTGGGTAATGAAATTGGCGCACATTTTTTGCAAATGTTTATAGAGCAATTTGATTTGCTTGTAAAGGAGATATTCACGCTGGCAGTGGAAGATAAGAAACTAAATAATTTGGTGTTAGTACTGGCTTACATATACATTTTCAAAATCTATGAACACCGACTGTTGTTGGAGATAATCGCACGACTGTCTGATAATTTGTGTGAGAAATCCATTGAATGTTTGCTTCTAATCTTTCAATCCGTCGGGTTTAAATTACGCAAGGATGATCCACTTGCTTTCAAGGAAATGATGTTAAGCGTACAGCGCAAAATCGCTGAAGCCCCTTTGGAGTTGAAGGAGAATTTGCGTTTAAAATTTATGGTTGATATTTTGAATGCAGTCAAAAATAATAATATAAACAAAATTCCTCAATTTGACCCAGAACTAGCAGAGAATCTGCGTAAACGACTGAAAGCCATGTTGCGTAACGACAAATATGTGACCACTTTGAATATAACCATGGATGATTTGCTGCGCGCTGATCAAGTGGGCAAATGGTGGGTGGTTGGATCAGCGTGGAGTGGGAATATCGATGACATCAACTCTGCGACGAAACAAAATAAGGAGCAGGGTGCTGTTGGTAGTCAACGATTTTCAGAAAAGTTGTTAAAACTAGCGAAGCAACAGAAAATGAATACAGAGGAACGACGAAATATTTTCTGCATCATTATGGGGGCTGAAGATTACATAGATGCCTTTGAAAAGATATTGCATTTAGCATTGAAGGATCAGCGCAGTATTGCCTATGTAATTATCCACTGCAGTTTGAACGAGAAGCGATCAAACCCTTACTATGCACATTTGGCATTGAAATTCTGTCACTACAATCGAAAGTATCAATTAGCTTTCCAGTTTGCAACGTGGGATAGAATAAATGATATGGAATCACTGAATAAATTACAAGTGAAAAATTTAGCGAAATTTTTGCAGCATTTAATTTTAAACGGTGGTCTACAGTTGACGGTAATCAAAGTTGTAAACTTCTTGCAATTGGACAAGATAAGCTTCCTTTTTATGAAGGAAATTATGGTTGGTTTATTATTAAGCGAGAACGACAATGAGATTTACCAAGCATTCGAACGCGTTGCAAAAAACACAAAACTCGGTCAATTCAAAAATAGCGTACGATTGTTCATACAACACTTCTTGCTACAGGAGGAAAGCAAACTTAAGTTAAATGAAGAAAAAATGGCCCTTTTAAAGAAACGAGCGGATCACGTCGATAACATACTGGCATATGTGGACTTGTAATTTTGCATTATTAGTTTTAATTAGGATTTATAAGTTAAAAAATATAAACTTAAAAAAATAATTATAACGAAGTTTCTAATAAGCTGTTTTGATAAGCTTAAAATATTTAAAATTATTTACATTCCATTTCATAGGAATTAATAATTTTGTTTATTCTAAACTTAGTCGAAGGCCTGCAGCAGGTCACGCGCACGTTGATATTTTGAGGAATCATATACAGCTCTCTGCTCTTCTTCATCAATTTCCTCGGCGCACTGTTTATCGAGTTCCTCAATGCATTGTTCTGCTAATTTAATTATCTGTGCTTTGGCTGCTCCCTTGGATCCGGACAAGTATTCGAGAGCGATGGGCCACATCTCTGCACCAATTTTATCTTCGTCAAATACAGTTTGCTGTATTGAAATTTGTCGTAGTTTTTCAAATTTCCATTCTGTACGTGCGGTTTTCCACTTACGCAGGTACTCTTCGTTGCGATAACGCTCTTTGTTTACGGTTTGATCTTTCAACGTTTCAATGCGCTGCTTGTGCTTTTGTTTTTTCTTTTGTCGCACAGTTATTATTGCGTTTACGTTTTCAGGCATTTCACTTTCACGAATTTCTTCCAAAGTGGGTTCTTGACGTTCCTCTTCAGCAGCGTCGATAACTTCATCGTCATCCTGCCCGTCTCCATGCTTTAACCGTTTTTCTTTAACTGTGCCTTTATCTTTATGTTTTCGCTTTAAATTTTTTACAATATTTTCTAAAGAATAAAAAAAAATTTAGTTAACTTGAAAAATTTAAATGAATTTTATGCTTTACTGTCCCCAGCTGTGTCTCCCACTGCTTCCACAATTAAGCTCTTGCTGGCCACTTCCTCATCGTTGTCTTTTGATACATGCTTCCGTTTTTTAGCTTTGGGCTTATTTTGAGTTGCTCCATCGGTTTCATTCAGTTTTGTTTCCTTTTTAGCCATTTTGTAGAAATTAATTATTTATTTTTCTTATATCGAAAACATTGCAGCAGGGAATTTACTTTATATTAGCTGATTAAACATCAATTTATGACACGTGATTCTTCTTCTTCTATATCAACGTTCACAATTGTGTAGAAAATGACTACGCAGTCACAATAGTGCATTGTCAGAAGCTAGTTTTTTACATGCAGTTCAAAAAACTTAATAAACCAAAATAAACAAATCAGAATGCATATATTACGAATGACAGTACAAAAGCATTATGGAAAACTTAGTATCAATTGTTGTTGCATTTTGCGAAAAATTGATATCCGTGTGCATATTTTTGTTTATTGAAAAATTGCCGCAAACCCTTAAGCCCCGAGTGTTCCATAATATTTAATAAAACGTAAAAATAAGCAATAAATTAAGTGTTTTTCGTTAAAAAGTGTAGTTAGTTAAAATATGTATGTATGTGATTTAATAATCGTAACAACAAGCATTATCAACTTCAACAAATATTCTAATTCATCGAATCCTTAATGGAATTGTGTTAAACACAGTTTATATGTCGTAAGGGTAATCAGTAGAGAAATTTAAAATTTAAAAATTATAAGGTAAGTTTCCTTTACTTTCTAAGATAATTTGTCATTGTGGAGGAGGTTTCCATGAGTAAAAGAAGGCGTATGCATAAGTTCATATATATGTATACAAGTGCATATATTTATGTGCAAGCGTGTCTATGAGAGTGTTTAGGCGGTTCCAGTGGCCTCCCTGGTTTCTATTTTGCTTATTCATGAAGCTCCCACAATTGCGGTGGAATTTATTTAGTAATCTTAGTGAAAATTACGTGCGTGAAAATGGCCATAAAGTGCTCGTGTGAAATAAACAAATACGCATTGATGGATTGAAGATCAAGGACACAGCAAGCACATTGCCGCTTAACATCACGAATGAAAGATAGAAGGTAAGTGAATATTATTTTCCACTTTTTTTTTATTTGCAAACACCTTTTATAAAGTCTGTAGGAAAAAGTTCAATGAATAAAGTTATATATGTATATACATACATACGACGCCATTTATAACGGGAATTCGAAAGAATGGTTCAACAATCTCGATGTACTTTGGTTAATAATTTTATCAATTATCAATTTTACTGTAGTGTCGAAATTAGTATGTATTTATTGTTTCTGTCCAAAATATAAAAAAATATAGAAAAATAATTTTAATTGTGGTGGAAATGGAACTCGGCCAAAAATCTCTTAAAAACGCTAATTATATTGTATATATATTTATATATATATGTAGGTACATGCACATAAGTATGTGTATGCTTGAGCTGTTATTCCGAATAGTCATTTTACAACCTGCGAAATCCTCGTCCTTCCTCTTCACCAGCTGGTCGAACCTACCGGCTCCAACTCGGGGTAAAAGTCGCTGGCATAAAAATTTCGACTATTTACAAACCGAAGTTACTCCTTCATTCAAATGTCACAAACTTACATTGCCGCAACAAAGTCCTAAAGGCGTTAGCCGGCAACACCTGGGGAAAGGACATACACAGAAATATTGCTGGCAGTTTAAAAAGCTACAAACGGCTCAACTCCGCTCTCTTGACCGGGACAGGGAATTTCCCGATGCATCACTCGCAAACGGAAAAATCTATGCTACGAGTTAAGGTGTTAAGTTAGGAAGAGAGTATTTGACTACAAGGGCTGCAATCAACACCATGTACAAGAACCGCTGGAGAGAACGGCTTACCGAAAAGTTTTAAACGTCATTCACCGATAATCCGTTAACATCTTGAACTCTCTAGCTATTAGAGACATAGAGGTTGAGCTGCCCCGAAAGTACCGCCCAATAGTGATTAAGATCGATACTGTAGTGGACTAAATTCCTACATATCCAGACTAGACCACGACATACCCAACGTATGTCCCGCACGTATTGAGACCACGCACGACACTAACCACTACTTTGCTTACCCCCTAAAACCTACTTTTCTAACCCCCTGGGCCTCCCGTTATATGACCTAGATGACTTAGACTGATCGTGCCGGCTCCAAAGTGGTGTTAGACTTGTCGCTAAAGCGACAAGATTTGAAAGAGGGAATATACAGTCAATGGTTATGGGTATTAATAATTAATTAATTCCGAAGTCGGTTTTCAGTTCTTTTGAAGAAATGTTCATTTTTTAGTTTATTCAAAATTCGTTTTTTTCTAAGTGGCAGTGATCAATCAGCTGAGCCAGTTTTCGGAAGAAATCTTATCACCGGCAAGCGGTGGTAACTTTTCATTTACATGGCGCTCTCATAAGCTTGCAGAGCCGCTATCTTTTTGGCAGTTGCAGCAGGCATAGCCTAGTTATACATATAGTTCGGAGAGCCCGGCTCACCAAAGAGACAACAAATAAAAAATTTTATCATTTATTTTGCTCATCAGATTCTGGAGCTTCTTTAAAGAAAAAAAAAAAAATATATATATACAATATATTGGCGCTTTGTAGCCACTGAAGTGATTTTTCAGCCGAGCTCCTCCTCCAATTTGAGGTGTGCGTCTTGGTGTTTTTCCAACAAATGGAGGGACCTACAGTTTATACTTAGCTCCCTCCGAACAGCTGATTGTTTTTTTAACGAGGAGCCTTTATTTCCTGTCCGAAATACACTCGGAGGGCTGGACATTCCCTCCCGATAGGCGACCGCAATTAAAAAATTTAAATTATCAGGTTTACAACTTTGCTTCCGCCGTTTTTTTTCCAAAATTAAAAGCTTTATTGCGAAAAAGTGCTATAGATATATTATTCAAAGTATTGTCCTTCGCTAGCGACAACTTTCTCCCATCTTTTCGGCAATTTTCGGATCCCTTCTCGAAAAAATGATTCCTCTTTTGACGCTATCCATGTGCCATCGAACGGAATAGGTGGAAGTCAGAAAGGGCGACATCTGGGAAATACGGCGGGTGGAGCAAGACTTCCCATTTCAGCGTTTCCAGGTACTTTTTGACCACTTTTGCGACGTGAGGCCGATCATTGTCGTGTTGGAGGATGACTTTATCATGTCGCTCTTGATATTGTGGCCGCTTTTCTTTTAGCGCGCGACTAAGGCGCATCTGTTGCGCTCGGTAGCGATCTCCTATGATGGTTTCACCCGGGTTTAAGAGCTCGTAGTAAATCACACCGAGCTGATCCCACCAAATACAAATCATAACCTTGTTTGTCTTCGACATCGAAATCACCATTTTTAAAACGTTGAAACCACTCCCAACACGTTCTTTCACTCAGAGCAGCATCACCGTAAGTTTCTGAGAGCATTCGATGCGCTTCAGCTGCATTTTTTTCGAATTGTAACAGGAAAATAAAACTTTCCGCAAATGGCGAGAATTAGGCACATAAAGGGACATTTTTGAGCGCGAATAATACGAAAACAAGAACAACTGTCACTGAAACGGCGATGACATTTCGTTAAGCACTGTCCACACTCACTTTAAAGGCATTTGAAGGCATCTAGGTATTTCAACCAGCCTCAGCCGGTACAGCCACCTATCGGAAAACGGCGGAAGCAAAGTTGTACACCTAATATTTTTTTTTTGTTTAATTAATTCTCTATAAATTTTGGATGCTGGCCGGCCCAGGACTCGAACCCTGGCCTTCCAAATGTCAGTAGGCAATCGCGGCCGCCTGAGAAATAAAAAACTTACAACAATATTCATACCAATTAAGCTTAATAACTCAACTTTTTAATGAGTTCGAAAAAAATTATACTCCTATATATGTACATATGTATGTATGTGTGCACGTAAAATGCAGACCAGGAAACTCTCACTTTCATTTCACTAAGTAAGAATTTTATTTTAATTAAAAAAAATTTACGACTTCTATTTTAGCCGGCATTCGCAGGCACCTAAAAATCATTTACACTAACATACATATGTACATATATGTATATTGGTGTATGGGTAATCGAAGGAAAATAAAAAAAATATTTTTATGTCCACATACATATATATTTTTACAAAGGTATTTACATACCTAGAGCTACGAACAATTTGTACATTTAAACAGTTACACTAAAATATATACTGTATTTGTAAATATATACATTATGCATATGTATATGTGCCAATTTGCTCGTATTATATATGTGCATATTTACTATGTCTGTCTGCCCCCGCAAAGGCTTATTTTGTTTTAAAAAAGAATTGAGAGATGCGCGAACGGACAAATAACGTCTACAACACCAAAATAAACACACACACATACCACCACCTACATACATACATACATACATATATAATACTTAAGAGTGCCGCAATCTAGAGACTCGATGGTGGTGGTTGCTTCACATTTCTCATGCACTTTTCAAATCAGTTTGGTTTGGTGCGTGTTCTGAAAGTGTACGTTCATCGTTTCGATTCGTTCCGTTTTTCACGTTTGTTCTGAAAGATTTTGCTCTGCTGCTTACTTTAAATTCAACACGTGTGCGTGTGTTTGCGAAAGATTTATTAATTTCATTCTATTTAATTGTGTCGATTTTCGAAGAGGAAAAATAAAAAAGTATACGTACATACACACATATATAAATAAATTTTGTGGAAATTTGTGGGAAGATATAAAACTCCCACTGCGTATGAGTAACATTTATTGCTTTTCAGAGTTTGAAAATAACAGTCAATCCACATAAAAAGCTGAAAGTGTTCAAAGGAAGAAAAAAATTAAAACGCAAACATATTCCTTCATAACGTCTGTGCGAGAATTCCGAATTCCAGTTTTGTTAAAAAGTTGTAAAATAATTTTGAATCGAAGCACCCGGCGTATGAGTAACGCGTGGGACCGCCGTGCGTCACGCTTTGCTTTGTGTGCAATTTCGTTGTGATTTTTGGCAAATGTCGCGAAATTAATTAGCGTTTACGACAGTCATTGCAGTCAAATAAAAATATCAAAAGCACAAAGTGAATTTTCCGCATTGAGGAGCGGCGAGGGTAACATAAAACCGCGCTGAATTTCGTCGTGTTTGCGTTTGTTTTCCTCTTCACGCTAATTGGATTGTTGACAAACGAAAGCTAAACAACAACCGAAGGCGACAACAAAAATTACTGTATTACTGCGCGCCGCGCTACTATTTACACAACAACCACATTGCA